AGGGAAGAAAACAGTTGGAAACCTAAACAAAAACATCAGTATAGCTGTACATGGGATTCCAGAAATCCAGTGACCGCTTGTCTGAAGGTCAGGAGTTCCACGACTTCCAGCAATGACGGTGGATCTCAACTAAAGCCGGTCTCGGCACTGTACTAGCCGATAGCGTCAGTAGACTGCCAAGGCCAGCGCATCTCAAGTCCATATCCACCCACAGACTGCTCGCATCCAACTCGGTTAACATGCCTCCATCATAGACGTTCAACAAACATGGAATAATGCAGGAGAAACCATGGGATCTCAATATGCAGGTGCAAAGTAAGCCTACACTCACGAGGCAAGAGGGGGGACGGCCATCGCGAAGATCTCTAGAGTCAGTGGTTGTCACACGGGCACTGACCTGTGGGTGAAATACACCTAGTAAATAAGCCGCCGCTGCCACATCCCCCACCTAGGTTGAAAACGCAAAGCAGAAAACGGAGCGGTGCCAGTCGAATGAGGACTGGCGAAAATACACAACCAGCCCGTCCCCCTCACCAGGCACACTAACATGTATGTACGGCAACTTGAGGGGACTAAGGGGGAAGGTAGAAGAGATGAGGACGCCGCGTGAACGTCAGCATTCTGACATCATACTTAACACCAAATTCTGGCCCTCGCCGGATATCTCCGATGTATGTTACTGGCATGGAACTCTTCCGCAAAGACAGAGGGCTCAGAGCAAGAAAGGGAGTGGCTCTCTACACAGGTTCTCATTTAAAGGCAGGGGTGGTTAGCGGTGCCGCCTTAACTCGGCTCCCAGAATCTCTGCGGTGATACTTCACTCTTCACTGTGCCAAATGCCTGCTCGCAGACATATGTCGGTCCCCTGCCAGCTCCCCTGCACATAAGGAGATGCTCATCAAAGCAATCTTGACAGCCTCCCCTGCAGATTACGATTCATTATTCATTGCCAGCCACTTCGACACCCCGTTTACCGTCTTCGAGATGGAAGGGGGACACATCAGACCCTCGAATCAGAAGCCAAAGGATGTAATTGAGACTGTTGGCTTCTCAGAGAAAGTGGGTGATACCACACGCTGAGGGCCTAACGTAAACGCATTGCGCCTTGACAGCGTTCTGGTGAACGATAACCTTCCAATTGAAGATGAGTGCATCGAACCCCTCTTGGCCTCAGTGACCACGCAGTAATACTCTTCTCTATGATTACTACGGAGGGCTTGCGACCGGAGACGCCCTAAACCTTCCCTTGCTTCATCAAGGCCAGCTACGAGACCATGAGGGAACATCTCATGAATGCATCAAGGCCGGTAGACTGGACTGCTCTCACTGTAGATGAACACTGGTCACAGGTAAAGAAAATGATGGCCGTAGCCATCAGTCACAGTGTATCAGAGGTGACACACAGGCTGTTAGTGAGGACCTCATGGCTAAAGCGTGGGACAGAAGGGCTAATTCAGAGCAAGAAACAGGCTTGGTTCAAGTGGCGTTCATCACGCGAGGAGTCTGACTTTTTGAACTACGAAAGGATTCACAACCGCTGTAACATTAGAGTGCGTAGCAGCAGATTCACGCATCAAGCTGACCTGACGGGGAGGTTGCAAGGTAATCCCAAAAACCTGTTCCGCTTCTTGTCGAGAAGAAAGTCGACCAGCAAGGGAGTGAATCTTATCACAGGTCCTGATGGGAGTGTACTAAGCAGTCTAAAGATTGCCGAGCTTCTAGGCTCACACTTCCGAGCCCAACTTAGTACCAACACCAAACCCACACCGACTCGTTACGACACCGACCAGGTCATAAACAACGTATACCTCTGCCACATCTGAATCACGGAGAAAAAGGTGTCGGAGAAACTATTTAGGTTACCTCCAGGCAGGCCCTCTGGTTGCGATAACCTGGAACCAGTGATCCTAAAATCTGCCCCGAGGTGTTTGCACAACCAATCTGCAACCTCTTCAAGCACTCAGTAGAGTTGCTCAATCTCCCCCAAGAGTAGAAGTGCCCCATCTCGTCACCCATCTTCAAGGGAGGAGGCAGAAAAAGCCCTGGCAGCTACATGCCAATTGCCATACTCCATGTAGTGTCGAAAGTGTTGGATAGCCTGGTAGCTAACACTATCCGGGAATTCCTCAACGGGGAAAACACCGTGCATACTCCTCAGCATGGATTTCGCAGTAGTCGCCTATGTGCCACCAACTTTCTAGCCGCCTGGGACGACTGAACACAAAGCTGGGATAACAGAAAACCGGTATATGTTGTTTTTTCAACCTATCCAAAGCATTTGACGGTGACCCACACACGGTCCTGCCTCACAAGATCATGTCAGCTGGTATAAGTGAGCCGTCACTCTCCTGGTTCAAGAAGTACTTGGAAGAGAGGCAGTTCTGCACCAAAGTAAACAGAATAAGCTCGGGGTGCAGACTGTGGACGTCAGGAGTACCCCGAGGAGCAGTCCTAGGACCACTTCTGTTCCTTCAGTTTGTCAATGATCTGCCAGACAAGATATCCCCACCCATCCTCCTCTTCGCTGACGGTATTGAAACTTGGGGGGTGGTAAAAGAAGCTGACTGTACAGCACCACAAAACTACCTGTATCATTTCAAACTCTGGTCGTTGGAAAGTAGCCTGAGCTTCAACCTGGAAAAGTGCAAAGTAATGCACATCAGCAAGTGCCACCGACTTTCAGCACGTGTTGAGCAACCGTGCTATCACTAGAGTGTCCACGGCCCAACTTCTCCGACACCTTTGACACCAGTCCCAACTACAGAGACATGGCAACCGGAGAGAACGCAATTTTGCACTTTCTGCGCAGACAGCTTGGCGTCCTCAGCCCCAAACTCTTCCTCACCGTTTTCAAGTCCTGCGTGCGGCCGCACCTACAGGTCTTCAGTACGGTTGCCCCCTTCCCCCAACACTCAGGAGAGACTGATCTCCCTGAAAAAAATACAAAGAACCGCGACAAAATCAGTTGTGGGGCTAAGGGGGAAGGCATTTCTTGAAAGGCTTGAACACCTAAATCTATTTACCTTGGGTTATCATAGGAAGAGGGGTGACCTTATTATGGCCTAGAAGATCGCCCATCAGGCAAACCAAGCGAACAAATCAACCTTACGTGCGGCACAGTGGTCTTCACGAGGAAACCCATTAAAATAGCACATCAGAGAGCCGATACCACACTCTGGTCCAATTTTTGTCCCTGAGAGTATGCGCTTCATGGAATGCTGTACCGTGACATATCATCATAGCCCCCTCAGTTGACTCAGTGAAGAGACGGTTGGACGTATATGTCACCTCGCACGGTCTGCCATGGACGTACCAAATGGGTCATCAACCCACTAGACCGCCATCACCTCCCTCCTTAATGCGCCCACGTTACCTTCTTGTTCTTTTCTAGGAAGTAGGCCCGCGCTATCTGCTTTTACCATTTGGCAATTCCTATATACCTTCCTTCCTACTGTTTCACTTCTTAACTCCCCTTTTTCTTCTTTTTCTTTCTTTCTTTTCCCTTTTCCCTTTCTGTATTTTTTCTTCTTCATTCTTTTCATTTTGTACCACTACCTTACCATTCACTTCCAGGTACCTACACAGACAGGAGTCTCGATAGTCCTCTAACCCTCCGAGCAACCCGTAGCTCCTCAGTCACTCTACAAATTACAACTCACTGACCCACCAAATATCCACCCCACCGTTTACCATGCAGTTACGAATATCACTACCGTATTTCCAGTTACCAAACTACCAACCGTCTTGCACCTTACCCGCCTTTCTATGTGTAAACCCCACTCCCTAAGGTTACAGACACATCTGTACCCCTTGCCACTTCCAAATTTCCCCAGGGTTTTCTTCTCCTCTCACCTTACCTCCGTCACCACTGTTTTTCTCCTCTTAGTTATCATTTCCCTCCTCCCTCCATTCTTCGTCTTATGACCATTCCAAACGGCTGCATGATAGGATGCCACTTGAGGAATCCATCTGCACCACAGACCCAAGACACATCACACACCTCCCGACAAACTTAACAAGTATCCAACCCTCCATCCTGCTTAACAGGGCCACGGCGAGAAGGTATTTGCCTCACCGGAATTCACCAAGGACGTGGAACCGCTCTACAAAAAATCGAGGTCAGCAAGAAGAGATCAACCGCTTCTTGAAAGGTCGGAAGGCATAGAACGCAGAGTATGGCCGGCAGAAACTAACTGGCACATAGTACTTCATGAAAAAAGTATCGGATACTGGACGAGGGAAATCAGTTGTCACACCCTCCAATGACCTGACCTTTGGGGAACGACTGATTTATCAGCTGTGTCCGCTGTGCAGCTAATGACTCATTCCTTACTTTCAGTGGGCCACATCGAGTGAGTGAAAGGGTTCGAACACGTCATCCTCTTCAGCAAGTTGCCAAATGGGTACAACTTCTGGGGTTTCAGTTTTTGGTACCCAACCAACAAGCACTAGGTTAGCATTGACAGTTTTGCATAATTCCCGAGCGCAGCTTACAACCTTGAGGCATTCCTCCAAAGTAAGCAGCATTCCACTGGATTAAAGTCTCCACGAAGTAACTAAATGGTTCCAGATTCCCTGTACTACGACAAAGCATCCACGCATGCAAATTATGTTCCCATACACCACTCACTGCCTGTCTTAATGCCTTATTTGTAAAGCTTCGGGTGGATTGCAGACAGATTGACACAAGTGGGTTTGGCGAAGACACCTTGAGAAATTCGGGCGAACCCACAAAAGTCCGGAAAAATATGGTCAACCGTCGGATATTAGGGCGAAGCAGGAAGTTGCTAAATGACCTTGTAGTTGTAACGCTGTCGTAACCACCATACTTCTACCCCATTTTCAGGGCTGTTACGATATTGCAGGATGAAATAATGATGCTTCATCTGAGATTATGAATATGTGAGACTCTTTTACCTGGAGGAAGGAACTCAACTGTTGAGCATTTTTTTAATACACCGGTCTAATGAACTACGATGCCCGCGAATCACCTTAATCTTACTCGCGCCAAGTTTGGTATCGTGTTTAGTAGGATAGAGTCGAGTGTGGTGACTGGCACTCTCGGAAGTGAGTGTAAGTGTAATGATTTTGTCTGCTATCTCCTATTTTGCGGTTTTGTTATATTTTCTCAAACTACTGTAGTATAGGGATCTTATTGATCAGCGTGTCTAAACAGATCTGTTTAGACACATGATATATGTACCCTAAAATATAGTTTCGATTGCTTTGGAATAGCGGTAAATGACTGCAATCGTGCTGCAACCTGTGCTGACACGTTGGAATTACCATAGGCATGTGCTTATTGCTATATAGATTGAAATAAGCACGTTCGTCTGGCTGGACTAAAACAGTGGCGAAACATTGCTCCAGTTGGCCTGACGAAATTATTGACTGGATTTTGACTCAAATGTAAGCTACTGGTATCAAATCGTGATAAATCTGCTTTTGGTTATATCCCAGCTGGCATAATCTATGGTCTGTCAGTTAATGTGGAAATTGTCCGAAGTTTACTTCGGGCTAATCCAATATTGATAGTGCGAGCGTAGAAAACTGGTAGTTTTTGATCTCTCGCAGCTAGTTCTTAGGGCTTGGTTCGAGTTTTTCGGTTCACTCCTGCAGTGGACGAGAAAATCCCCTCTGCTTTTTTGCTTTTAGCTTCGGTGAGGTGGATGTTTTGTGGGTTAGTAAGTTGTAATCTGTGGAGTGATTGTGGAGCTACGGGTTACTGGGAAGTCTAGGGAACTGCCGTGACTCCTGTCTGTGTAGGTACCTGAAAGAGAATAGTAAGGTAGTGGAAAGAAAGAGAATTTAAAAAAAGGGAACGAAAAATAATAAAGTAGGGAAGAGAAAAGGGAAGGAGAAGAAAGGGAGGGGTGAAAAGAGAAGTAAGAACGAAAGAAAAGTATTTGGGAATTGCCCAAATGATGGCGTGGGTTTAGCTGCCAAAGAAGAATTAGTAGGTAGTGTGGGCGTATTGAGGAGGGAGATAGTGAGTGGTAGTTGGGGGTGGGCTAGTCAGGTTAGTGACTACTTAAGTACGTCCTTGGTAGTCCATGCGAAGTGACATAACTGTCTAATCGCCTCTTGAATGAGTCGACTGAGGGGGCTATAACGATGGGTCGCGGTAAGGCATTCCATAAAGCACATACTCTCAGGGAGAAAAATTTGGACCTGAGTATGGTGTTGGCTCTCTGGTGTGCTTTCTTAATGGGGTTTCCTCGTGAAGATCGTTGAGTTGCAGGCAAAATTGATTTGTTTGCATGGTCTGCCTGATGGGCGATCATGCATGCCATAATGAGGTCACCCCTTTTCCTGCGATAACCCAAGGTAAATAGGTTTAGGTGTTTAAGTCTTTCAGGGCTAGTTTCAGAAACTTCAGGATAGAGCTGAACGTTCTATGTAAATGGTTGGCACTACAATTCTTAAGCATTAATTTACCATTAGAATGTATTTCTGGATGTATAATGTGTATAAAAACACTTCTGGGTCATATTATGCGTTTAAGAGACGGAAACTTACTGAATATAAAAACTTGAGGAAAACTGCAGAATCTAGGGATAGCAAACGTGTACTGCAGACACTTAGGCCAGCCGGAAAGCTATGCATTGTGTGGATTCTTATTGTTCCGTATGTTGGGACAGTTCTATCCACTTAATTTGGTCCATTCACAAAATACTAGTCTAGCACATAGTATGATAATGGGAACTCGTGCTCACTGCGCATAATAAAATCATGTGCTCCCACTTTTTGTGGGCAGATAGGATGATGCAGATAACTAACATGAAGGGATTTGCACTTATTTTACCCTATAAATGATAAAATAGCGTAACTCGATATGGTTCATGTTTATGTATAAAACTACCCAGCTCGCTTGTTGTGAATGTGTAAGACTCTCCTTGATTACAACTACCAATAAAGGGTAAATAGACTTTACAGTCAGAGAAAGTTACTGGATAGTTGGGTTTCTAGAAGAGTTGAGAAAATAACATATCAACGCTCACGTGTGTCATAGCATAAATTATCTGCACGTTCATTACTTGGCCATCGATCATTGATCTTGAATAGATCGATGGCGAGCAGTAATAAAAAATAATACTGGGTCATTTTCTTTATCTTCCTTATCAGCTGCTTATTAAGTATGACAGTATGGAGCGCTTATTCATTCTGCTGGCTAGTCGCTTTTATCGAACAGATTAGTCTGTGGAAGTGTGAATAGTAGGATTCAGCCACTCCTTTACATGGCAATATTTCGTAATGTGTCTACATAAAACTTATGTTTCATAGGGATTTCCATCTGACCTGCCTTTAGCCTTTGATTTTCTTGTCATATTTCTTTAGTATGTGTGGATCTTTGATTCTTCAGCTTGCTGCAAACTTGAGGTCTTTTTATACTACTAGGGCTATTATTGTCTATTTTAACCAGTTTGGTAATATAGAATTAACATCGTCTTCATGTCGACTTGATATTTCTGTCATAGGACTAAATTATTCCGTCACCTGTTATGTTTTTATTTATTTATTGTTAACTACTGAAGTGTAGTTGTAGTGATAACCAGGTTGTTTACTGTTCTTGTTGACTTTTTAAGTCTTTCATTTTAAAGTTGGTTATAGTACTTCCACTGGATCGGCTGAGACTACATGGAAACAGCTACATTTTGAATTCTTGATATGACTTTCAGTAGTGTGAAATTATATTTGATTTAAGCAGTACATGTTTGTGCACTGGACTGTGAACGTAGGTGAAATGCAGGCGATAAAGCTTCATTCAATGATCCTTACGTTTTGCTTTGCACTGGTATTCGAGTCATGTCGGCAAAATGATGAGACCGAACCTGTCAGGAAGATACATTTTTGAGATTTTATGCAGATTCACTGTATGTCTGTTGAGTTTAGCTGAAGGGAAAATGAATGTCTGCACTAGGACTTAGGTAACTAAGCTTCTAAGCCACTTCGAAGATTTGCGGTCTATTGACAGCGCTTGTCACCAAAGGTGTCAAGAGTTGAGCAAACAACCATATGGAAGAGGAGAGTAGGTGTAGAATGTGGTCGTAATAAAAGAGAGCTGAGGAGTGATTGGGTGAAATATTAATCGAATAGTAAACTGTGAGGCTTGTGGTTCTCAATTGTAATGATTAGCAGACGGTCTTACAAAGTGGGGCATTAATTCAAGTTTCTTTTGTTGAAGTTTACTGAGGGAGCATTGGTTACTTTCTGCAGTAGCACATTCTGTAGTGTGACTTGATCTTGATGTTTGTGAAAAAGTGAACAAAATATTGTATATGATGTATTCAGTGTGTCTTCTTTGTGTTATGTCTTGTCTTTGATATGAATTTCCGTGCTACAAAAGCGAGCACCATTTTCTTTTGTTTTGTGCAATAGAGATAGTCTCAGAAAACTAATCAGCTGTGTCTACTGAATAGAAGTGCTCAATATGGAGTCTCCCGTCATATCGATCAGTCCGAGACACTACATCCATGTGCTGAACTTAAATACGCATGTCACCACCCTGATTGCTGGACCGAAAACCTACGTTTGCCAGAGAGATGAAAAGTATGTTTGTTCAGTGAATGATTACTGCTTGGTAGGGTTGTTTTGGGGCCACAAGAGCTGACTGTCGTTCCGGCGATGATGTACTGCATTATTCTTAATCCTGTGATAAAGAATAAGGATGGCGTTCCAGTTGTTGACGAATTTGGACAAGTTAAGGTTAAGATGGGTGATGAAGAGTACCGCTTCTCTCAAGATCCGTTTCCTTTATATCCGGGTGAAGCACTTAAAGATACTATAAAACCACTCCCTATTGTACTTCCGAACTCAGCACTCAGGCTGAGAGCCGTTTCGGATTTCGAAGATGGGAATATTAAACGCATAGCTGGAGAGGAATGGCTGTTTGAAGGCCCAGGTAAGCGATAGTTTATTTCTTTTTTTTTGTACAAATTTCATATACCTTGACAGCTTGGTCGTCTGTTCCCACCATGTGTAGACTGTTGAAATCGTTTTTCTGAAGTTTGGTATTTTGAACAATCTCACTTACTCTCTGTATACGGATTTGTAATGTAATTTCTGCGTTGATATGATGTTCACATACCGAGAGGTTCGTTGTGCGATAAAATGTATGGTAGTCCGTTTAAGATGTAACAGTATGATGACGCTTATTCTAGTGGTCCTGTACATTTTCAGGTTGTTTTCAATTACTAGCTGCCTGCTGATCGATTGTAACTTTGAATGTATTTCTATTATCAGAGTACTTGTTTTACTTATAAGTTGTATGTGGTGTTTCGATGGATATTAGAAATTCAATCAGAAATCATCGTAGTAGAAGAGTGGGCTGAAGATATGCAGTTATTTTCAATGTATTTTGTATGATTACTATTTGTTGATATACTTGTAATTCTCCGTTGTTCTATTGGGTCGAATTGTAAGACCTCTATTGGTATATGGGGTGCTATGTGGATGCCTCGATATTGTCTGAATGTTAATCATGGTAATTTGTTTGTTTGGTATTGCTTTGAGTTTTGTAGCCTTTTAACTTGATAATTGTGATAGTGAGTGGTTCACACCAGTATGATTTTGCAGCTCTTTGTAACCTTTGTTCGCTCTTTAAGATATGATTGTATGTTTACGAATACGTTTTGGTTGCAGGTACGGTAGTGGAGTCAATTGTAAAATATGTTATCCTAGGCTATTTCGGCTTATTGGAGATTATGCTATCAACTATCTAGTAATCCCAGTTTTTTTGTCCTAGTCATTACAGGTGAATGTTGAATGGATGCGAAAAGAAGCACTTGTCATGTGAGAGTTCTATCTATTTGTAGGTCAATGATATGGAGTCTGCTCAGAAACTTTGTTTTCTGTTGAATTTACCAGTGACTTGCGTAACGTGAAAAAATGGGATCTAGAAAACTCTTATTCGATAGTGATTCAAGCAGTTTGAAAGTTTTGAGCGTTATCGTTTGAACAGAAAAATATACAGTTCTTAACTGGATGACTATACAAGCCATAGTGCTGTCATCAATGGATGTTTTGTAATTAAGGGATGCGATATGTTGCAGTGTTTATTACATTACTTGACGTTTATTCTTTTTCGCAGGAATCACGTAGTGAATTCATGAAATTAAGCACAATAACGACCTGATAATACTGTTTAACAAATATGTAACTTTTCAGACTTTGTTTGTTAGTGACTCCTGTTGTGTCAGGGTTAGTGAAACTACATGGTTGAGAAACATTTGATAAGTGGAGCACATTTGTACTCATGATCCGTTGACTGGCAGTCGATTGTCTGGATCGACGTTTACAGCTTCATTAAGAATTTACTGAGTGGATGGTAAAGCGTTAAATTTCTCATAGACTTAGGTTAGTGGAAATCATTTTAGATTACAACGGTAATTAGTAGAATGTGACAAATATGTGTGGTTGAAAACTGTCAAGAACTACAGACATGTTTGCATGTAAATGAGTTCTATTTTTCATGGGACGAGAAGAATTACTTTTATGTTGTCAGTGGGTATGTTTAGAGTATGTTGGTAACTCTTCAGTTTGTAGTCGAGTGAGCCTGATGCGAAACAGTTTTTATGATTTGATATTTGTAGTAAGAAGGAATTAAAGTTTAAGTCACAAAGCACAGAGTCTACAGCCAAGTTTGTTGTTATGGAAGACAGAAGTTTGTGTTTGATCACTGTGAGCAACAATGAGAAGTAATTTGAAGGGGATGAAGGTTCACACTCGTAGAAGAAGCTAGATTATGAGAATGTTGAATGTGCTTACCTTTGTCTTGCGTGAAGACTGGGGTTTTCTCTACTATGTATTTTTGTAATTTAAACAGAGGTAAAACAGTGAATGAACAGTTTTACACTTTGAAATAAACTTAGTTCAGGACAACGTTGATCTGAGTTGAATGACAAGTATGTGTATTTCTGTTTGCAGGTACTTATTATCCTAGAAAGGAAGTAGACATCGTGAAATGTGAAAAGGCGAGAGTAATCCTTGTTAATTCTGCTCTTGTGATTGAAGCGACAAAAGACTGTGTTGACCGTAGTGGTGTTTCTCGTGTTTTTGGCGAGCGTTGGCTGGTTGCGACTCCAGGTGCATATCTGCCTGGTGTCTATGAAGAGATTGTTGAAGAGCGCAAAGCTATTACGTTAACGGAAAGGGTAAATGCGAGAAAACGTTACGTATCTGTGCATTTCTCTGTTATCTGTTACTGTTATCTATGTTACTGAGCAACTGAAAATAACTCCGAAGTTCTGCGTTTCGGAATGTCAGTTTGAGACATGTTTTCTAGATTTAAGGGGATAACATCTTTTGACCTGAATTTCATATGATTTGGCGAAGCAGTTGGTGCTGTGAAGAAGTGTAGAATGATAGCATAATTGTTTTTAAGTCAAGTCGACATATGGGTTTGAATATGAAGTAACATGTAAAGGCTGACACCGAATAGGCATTTACACTGAAGTGTATAGGAAAGTAGTTGTTATTAATTTTCTTTTTCATTATCCGAATGACCCTATGAGCATCCGCCTCTAAAAGGTTGATATTACACCCAAATATGTATTTGAATTCTAAATTGTAGGAGCTTTCTGCTATCAAAATTATATAACCATGTTCGATGACTGTGGTAATAGTGTGACTTTGTGTCTGCTATTTTTTTGCTTTTAGAGTCGAAAGTTATTTTGTGTGAAGGTGATTATCTTGAATTGAACAAACTCCATTGGTTTAGTATATGTTAGGTACATAGATGTAGATTGAAGTGTCTTTACTGAAAGTAGACTATTAAGGAGTCAGTGAGTATACGAAGGCGTGTAATATGCAAGTGTTCGGTTTCACTTTATCCTATATGTTGTTTGGATATCCTCACCTGATTACCTTAAAGATAGTCATATTTTCCTGCTATGTGATCCATTTGCTATGGTCGTATGTAATTCAGTCGACTGATAGTTGTTTGAGTTCCGATGAGTTGTGGTTCATAAGGTGAAGCAGAAATAAAGTCGTTAATATAAGTGTAAAACTTGAGCACTGTGGTAGAATTTACTTCTATATTAGACTTGTTTATTTGATTTATAACACTGATACAGTGACGACATATATATATATCGTATAATAGTACCAATGATAAGACTATGAGCGGTAATTTATGCACGAGACGTCGTTAAGTAAGTAGTACTGTATCACCATGTGTTAAGTGAAATAAACGAATGTAATATAGGAGAAGTAAAGTTGGTTAATATCCCATGCTCCTTTGTGATGAGTGATAGTTTTCTTAAAATGAATTGTCAATTTTGCAATTGCGCCCTGTATCCACTTGATTTTTTGATTCATTTTCAGCGAGCTATATGCGTCAAGGCTATCAAATCGCATGTTGACAAGTTTACAAAATATCGTAAGGCTGGTGAAGAATGGTTAATCACTCATGAAGATGCAGAATATCATATTTGTGGTGCACTTGAAGAGTTTGTGAGGGAAGTTGAAGTGACTGTACTGCATGCCCATCAGTATTGTGTTATAGTGAACCCCTGGGATGCAAATGGGGTACATCAGCTAGGTAGAAAGTTGCTTGTACGTGGTGAGAAGTCGTTCTTCTTAAGACCAGGTGAATACTTGGAAAATGATGTTGAAGATGCATATGTTTTACAAAGTGATGAGGGTCTAATTCTGCGAGCAAGAGAACAGTTTGTGGATGAGATTTGTGAAGATGTTCAGTCAGATGAAGATTCCGTGATGAAAAAGAAAGTGGTGAGTTTTAATATGCACAACTCATTGCACCTATGTGCTAGTAGATACTCGAACTTCCAATTTGGAATTCAAAAATTGTAGAGCTTTGAGGTTTCGAGTTTGGTAATCTTGATGCTAGCAATCGAAAGTTAGTGGTAGTAGTAGTGGTGGTGGGTGTCGACATTTTAATTGTGTGTTGCCACTTCGAAAGTCATGATGTGACCACTGGTTGTTTTCCAACCGTCATCTTCCACTCTTTACTTGGCTGCTGAAGAGTTTGTTAGTCAGCAATGGAATAATAGGTTGTTAGTTGAGTGAAGAGACAAAATAGTTAGTGCAGGAATAAATTAGTAATAATGGGAGAGATCATATCCATGTGTATCAAGTTTGTCAAGCTAGTTAGAGTGGATGGCTTAGTTGTGACTTTGTTGAGTATGTGTGACAAGTAAGAGATGTGGTGGTGATGCACAGTGAACTTGTGGAGAAGGTGTTCGCAATGTTGACTTTTAGTTCCTGCTCATAGTTTGTTCTGTATCTGTGTTTGGATTGAAAGCTAGAGTTGGATAAAATCTTTCTGTATGTTCCTTAGATCAGCTCACTGTTTTCAACAGAGAAAATGACACTTTTCGAGTGAGTGGATCCTGTCATATTGGTTATAAACATCATCATTATCAACATAGGACCAGGCATTACTGCGTAACGGTCCGAGTTGCCACACCTCATATCAGCACATCAAGTAAAAAGGTAGTGAGGTGAAGGATGAAGATAAGTGAATGCAGTCATAAGAAATATAAAGTATGAGAAGAAAGGAAAGAGGAGTGACAAAATGGTGAGATTCGGTATAGCGTTGTTAAGATGGGGATAATGTGTGTATACATCTGCGCCACTGACTTCGGTTCTGAGCCATATCACCTAGGGTCTCCAACCACTGGTTCCTCTTGTCCCGTGGACCCCAACCACCTAGTCTGCATCGTCCTACATGGCTTAAACCAACAGTCAGAGACTTCATACATTGGTGCCATGTTTTAGTCTGGCCACCTCGGGCCTTTTTCCACCCTGGACCCACCTCAGCCAACATTGTGTGACGAGACAATCGGTGACTAGGCATACGTAATACGTGTTCCAACCATCTCAGTCGATGAAGGTTCCCAACCTCGTCAACTGACTTACCTCTTCTCCCCAAAACTCTACACCTAACTTCTGCATTACTCACGTGGTGACACCACGGAGTACGTCCTATATTACGAAGGCAACGGTGGTCAAACACCTGAAGCCTTTTTGTATTTTCCACTTTCAATGGCCATGTTTCACAGCCGTATAGTAGAACAGAGCGGACTGCTGTGCAGTACACGCGACCCTTAGTAGACAAACGAATATCACGGCGGCGCCATAGGTGGCGCAAATTGGCAAAAGCCAATCGAGCCTTTTGTATCCGTGCAGAAATCTCATCGGCAACTAACCCACCGGGGTTGATCCTACTTCCCAGGTAAGTGAAGTGGTCAACACACTCAACCATTTCACTCTCTATTGTTAACCGTGGTACCGCTGAAGACCAGTCCTGGAGCAGAAATTTGCATTTGGGTGGTAAAAATCGCATCCCAAACATTCTCAAATTCCCACTCAAAGTGTTCTATGCTTCCAGATAACCTGAATATAAATGGAAATTATGCTTCTCACAGATCGGGTGGTATGGTTATAAACATACCACCCGATCTGTGAGAAGTATAATTTCCATTTATAATCAGGTTATCTGGAAGTATAGAAGTGTGTGTCAGGTGGTTTTTTGATCGCATAATACGTATAAGAAGTTGGGAGGTGATAGTCCTTGACGTTCGCTTAATGCATTGTTTGATTGAATGGGTGGATTGTTGGAATCACCGTTAGCCAGGCACTGAATGTCCTACTTTTGGCTTTCATTGCATAACAGTTGTCATCTTTGAGGAGACTTTTGTGCGGTGTTGTTTTGTAGTTTGTAGTTGTCATTGATATAGTCATTCTCTTTTCAAAAGCTTTTTTTTTAAATATGTCCATTTGTAATCTCCTCTTTGAATTATGTTAGATTCGTCGTGCTGGTGATCGATGGATGTTACGTGGACCTATTGAGTATGTACCTCCTGTTGAGGTGGAGGTGGTAACTCGTCGAAATATCATTCCTCTTGATTGCAATGAGGGTATCTATGTTCGTAATACACAGACAGGACAGGTTCGAGCTGTTATTGGTCAAGCCTACATGTTGAACCAAGATGAGGAGTTGTGGGAAAAGAAACTTCCGACTGAGGTTGTCCAGTTGTTGGAAAGAAATATGGACCCATTTGCGGATCGTGGAGTTCGGTCCATGCAGGACTCATGTGAATGTCTTGATCCAACTCGTGTAGTTACTTTCCGTGTTCCACACAATGCTGCGGCCCAAGTCTACAATTACAAGAATAAAAGGGCGAGAGTTGAGTTTGGACCAAATTTAGTTATGTTGGATCCAGATGAACAGTTTACTCGTCTGAGTTTGAGTGGTGGGAAACCGAAGAAACCGAACGTGATTAAAAGTCTTTGTTTATTGTTAGGCCCAGATTTCTGTACAGATGTTGTGATTGTTGAGACGGCGGATCATGCTCGCTTGTCTTTACAACTGTCATACAACTGGATGTTTGATGTGTCTTCATCGTGCAGTGAGGCAGATGCTGCTAAATTATTCTCAGTACCAGATTTCATTGGTGATGCGTGTAAAGCTATTGCATCTCGTGTTCGTGGGACTGTTGCATCTGTTCACTTTGATGATTTTCATAAGGTAACGTGTATATTTTATTGACCAGGTAGTTATGATGTGAATTCTATGGTTTAACTTTATTTGTGGATTATTTTAACCGAGGATGCATGTTGCGTCCCGGTGAAGGTTGTAATCAGATTTCAGATTATTGTGAAATGGCTACTTCTTAATTGGTTTACTTTCTACTGAACACAGAATTGTGCATGAAGAAGGTCGTTGTAATCCGTTGGTTGAGGAATAATGACAGGTCTAGTGGAAAGCGTGGTATAAGAACGATGAAGGTGACCGCCTTTGGAATGTGATACAGGATAAGCAAGCTGGTTTAGTCTATTTCCCACTGTTCATGCACAGGATAAAAAAGTTGCTGCTACTTACTGTGATTGTGTATCATACTCATAATGTATGTGTTGCAGTGATGAGGTGTAATGTTTCTTACACACTATTCAGGTAATCATGTTGGACTGTGAAGTGTTAGCTTGGAACAACTTTTGTTCGTGTTGCAGAGCGATGTATGTATAGTGATGTGATGTATGTGTATTATGTTGGTCATGGTGAGATGAATTTGTGCTCAGAAGGTGATGGTGTCCTGATTGTGTTTGGAATTTGTTGTTTGACTGAAATGCCAAAACAGGGGTATGAGAAAGTAACAAATGAAAATGGTGAGGCAGCGATTGTTTGGATACGTAGATATGTAGAGGATCACTTCTAAGCAGAAATATTTCATCGAGGTAAATATTGTGGTTCTATCTGTATGATGTTTTACAGTTAGATAGGTGCTGGTGGTGCACAGTTCAAACCAATAGTCAGTCTTCACCCACTGATACCACGTTTTAGTCTGACCAGTTAAATGCGAGTTGAGATAGCATTATGCGTCAGGTTGTATTCTGACTATATGTGTGTAACACGTTCGAGTGAAGTTCACAATTTCACTGGCTACCTTTCCACCTTCTCTTAGAATCCCACGCCTAACCTTTGTATTACTGATGTGGTTGTCATATTGCAGAATGAAGATGAAATGGAACACCTTAACTGTGCGTTCACCTGAGATAGTTGTGTGGTTGATATCTTCCATTTGGATAGCATTACTTATCTGTTAGTGCGGCCCACGGTATTTGGAAGGAAGTGATTTCCTTCAAATTATTTCTTGTGTCATCGATGAGTTCATGTTCGATTTTGATGCATTTTATTGAAAATCTCCAACCGTTGATTCCTCTTATCTGGGAGGCCTCAACCAGGTAGTGTACACTTCCCTACACGACTGAGACCAGCAGTTAGAGACTGTAAACTAGTGTCACGTCTTTACCTGGCCACGTTTAGTCTTCTTCGAACTCAATCCCACTTCGGTTAACATTGTGATAAGTCTATTTGTAAGGCATATTTTGTTACACATGAATGACAAGGTAGTCCCATCGATGAGACTGTAAATTTGACCACTTTGACTGGTAACAGAGCAAGGTTGTGATATATATATATATATATATATATATATATATATATATATATATATATATATATATATATATATATATATATATATATATCACAACCTTGCTCTGTTACCAGTCAAAGTGGTCAAATTTACAGTCTCATCGATGGGACTACCTTGTCATTCATGTGTAACAAAATATGCCTTACAAATAGACTGATAACAATGTTAACCAAAGTGGGATTGAGTGGGATTGAGAAGACTAAACGTGGCCAGGTAAAGACGTGACACTAGTTTACAGTATCTAACTGCTGGTCTCAGTCGTGTAGGGAAGTGTACACTACCTGGTTGAGGCCTCCCAGATAAGAGGAATCAACGGTTGGAGATTTTCAATAAAATGCATCAAAATCGAACATGAACTCATCGATGACACAAGAAATAATTTGAAGGAAATCACTTCCTTCCAAATACCGTGGGCCGCACTAACAGATAAGTAATGCTAACCAAATGGAAGATATCAACCACACAACTATCTCAGGTGAACGCACAGTTAAGGTGTTCCATTTCATCTTCATTCTGTCATATGACAACCACATCAGTAATACAAAGGTTAGGCGTGGGATTCTAAGAGAAGGTGGAAAGGTAGCCAGTGAAATTGTGAACTTCACTCGAACGTGTTACACACATCTAGTCAGAATACAACCTGACGCATAATGCTATCTCAGCTCGCATTTAACTGGTCAGACTAAAACGTGGTATCAGTGGGTGAAGACTGACTAATGGTTTGAACTGTGCACCACCAGCACCTATCTAACTGTAAAACATCATACAGATAGAACCACAATATTTACCTCGATGAAATATTTCTGCTTAGAAGTGACCCTCTACATATCTACGTATCCAAACAATCGCTGCCTCACCATTTTCATTTGTTACTTTCTCATACCCCTGTTTTGGCATTTCAGTCAAACAACAAATTCCAAACACAATCAGGACACCATCACCTTCTGAGCACAAATTCATCTCACCATGACCAACATAATACACATACATCACATCACTATACATACATCGCTCTGCAACACGAACAAAAGTTGTTCCAAGCTAACACTTCACAGTCCAACATGATTACCTGAATAGTGTGTAAGAAACATTACACCTCATCACTGCAACACATACATTATGAGTATGATACACAATCACAGTAAGTAGCAGCAACTTTTTTATCCTGTGCATGAACAGTGGGAAATAGACTAAACCAGCTTGCTTATCCTGTATCACATTCCAAAGGCGGTCACCTTCATCGTTCTTATACCACGCTTTCCACTAGACCTGTCATTATTCCTCAACCAACGGATTACAACGACCTTCTTCATGCACAATTCTGTGTTCAGTAGAAAGTAAACCAATTAAGAAGTAGCCATTTCACAATAATCTGAAATCTGATTACAACCTTCACCGGGACGCAACATGCATCCTCGGTTAAAATAATCCACAAATAAAGTTAAACCATAGAATTCACATCATAACTACCTGGTCAATAAAATATACACGTTACCTTATGAAAATCATCAAAGTGAACAGATGCAACAGTCCCACGAACACGAGAAGCAATAGCTTTACACGCATCACCAATGAAATCTGGTACTGAGAATAATTTAGCAGCATCTGCCTCACTGCACAATGAAGACACATCAAAC